CCCATTATTAGTATAGTAGTATGAATTAGTAGCACGATGGTACCCACAGCTAGTATATATATATATCAGGAGTCTATCAATTCCGGGGGGTAAATGTCCAGGGGGTAATTGTCCGGGGGTGATTTTCCGGGGGGTAATAACTAATTGTCCGGGGGGTGAATGGCATGGGGGGTAAATGTCCGGGGGGTAAATGTCCGGGGGTAATTGTCCGGGGGTATTTGTCCTGATACCTGGATAATACATATGAATAAATCCATAGAGACATGATACAAGATTGCGTGGCACAGCTTTGCTGTTGATCCTGAGCGCTGCACGCGGATGAGACTCGCAGTTCCGCAGGATATGCGCACGCGACCGTGTGGATGTTCAAGTATGAAGCACTGTCCGCAGTGGAGACGTGCGCCAAATTCGAGGCCCGGTGCACGTCTCCATAGTGGTCAGCGGATGGTCTGTAGTTTTAGAAGATAACAATGAAGACTTTGTTCTAAATCAGAACTATCCGCGGCTGAATAAAAGCAATATACAAACCTTTGAATTTCTTGTCAGTCAAAGGGCTTGTTGGGGGTCCATTATGCAGAGCTTCCAATTGAAATGGCCCATGAAAGTGTCAAGTGGAATTGTGTTTTTCGGAAACCCCAAAGAAAATGTCTCCCTCTTACATGCACCCCCTCCCTGATAAATCACGCATTCAGGCGTAAACAATAACAGAGATGAAATTGTGTTGAGTTTGTGGCTCTTGACGCACGTGCATTGTTGTACAAGACTGTTGAAAGCACAGGCACTTGGAACGTCTGAAGAAAAATAAATATTCACACAATGTTAGACCGCCTGTGTGCAAAATAGGTGAACGTATGTGAAACATATACGGTTAGTACTTACTGTGACATAACTGACACCACTAATTGGTAAAATGTTCCATGCATCTTGAGAAATTCTGAGAAATTCTGAGGTTATTATCGCAGAACTCCCGACACCGCATATGCTGATGTCACAAAGCTATATATGTAAACAAACACGCATGTTGCGAGGTGCCTGCCTCCGATATCCATTTCGAGGCCCGCTAAGCCAAGCATAAAGCGCGCGGGCAAGACGTCACACACACAGCTACGTTCATTGGCTAAAACAATTGAGTAGCGCGGTTAGGGATTTTCGGAATTATTTAATTTTAAGAAAAACTTAAATGTTCAATGAATGACGCACTCGTTCACTTCCGAAAGCGGGTAAAAATGCCGAATTTGTCCACTGATGCGAAATGCATCGGCCGGGCTTTTCATTATTTACGAAAAGCAAACAGTCTCGCCAAACACCTACACGCAGTAACGGGTCATGCCGTTGACGCCCCCCATTCATGTCCATCAACGAAGAAGGCGGGGCTTATTCTGATTGCGGAGATGCGAAAATGCAACAGAAGGACGTAGCGCAGTGCGCTAAACAGCGTGTTATCTTAGATCCTGAGATCGGCAATTTGGTGGTCCAATGGGTCCCCATCTTTAAAAATATATAAGACTGGTGCGACGTAGGCTGTGATTGGAAGACACAAAGTGTCAATCCTCGGCGCGCCTCGTCATCATGGCCGCATCACGTCTAAACCAAGTCAATCTAGTCCAGGTAAAACCATTGTGAAATTGTTGAACACCCTGGAAAACTGTTATCTTTTGCCACATGCTAGCGCTTGTACCAGATGGCGATACCCAATCTTCGCTGATCGGGATGCTAAGAACGTATTGGTAGTGGATTGTGGAATGTGCATCTTAAAGGATTTGTTATAAATTCGTTCAAATGTTGCTGCATATCATTCTCATTCAAAAAATGCCAATTCTGTGATCACCCAGTTAATATTATTGCTTAAGTTATCTCAGCGTACCAGTATTAATGCTAATCGATGGACTTTAGACAGCACTTTAATCATCTTAGTCTATGCTGACTGCATCTCAATCAGAGAAGAATCCTTCTACAGATAAACCGTTCTGCATTCATTCCTATAGTAAAGAAACGTTGTTTGACTGAATCATTCCGCCATTCGCAATGGAAGTTTTCGTCAGCAGTAGAACCATTAAAAGTCACTTCATCTGTCATGGCAGCAATCTTATTTACGAGATGGGTTGCAGCAAAGTGCATCTGAGCAATATACTTTGGAAAGAGAAACTCAATTTTCATCCTTCAGGGTTCTCTGTAATATCTAGAAACATGATCTGAGCAAACCAGTCGGTGCAGATCATGCAGTAAACGATCGACGTCAGCCATGTCAAAGCTCTTAGACTGTGGGTTTGTAGCCTAAAACGGCTCTGTAACAGTAAATCTTACATTCTACTAGTACTAGTACTAGTAGTAGTAGTAGTAGTAGTAGTACTATAGTCGCTAGTATAGTAGTAGTACTACGGATCGCTGCCGCGGGCTATAGTACTAGAGCTACTAGTACTACTACTACTAGTACTAGTAAACAGTGAATGAGACAAGCATCCTTGTATTTGATAATTTGTAAAGACTAAAGACTAAAGTAATATAATATCCTGTATGATGTAGTTCGTGATGGGTGCTTCACATAAAAATTTTGTTTGAAAACGATTTTTGTTTCATTTCAGATTGAACGTTTGTTGCGTTTCGAATTCGTAGCCGTATAAAATTTTCAAGCAAAGGGTCAGTCCCTACCTCACCAGTACCGCGATCTGTGTCACAGTTTCAGCAAGTTGCAATCGTTATTACTATCAACACGAAGCCGAAGGAGTCGAGATAATCTCCAAGCTAAGGTTGTATATATGTAGAAGATTATAATCTAATGCCTTTTTGCCACTAAATCTAGCATTAACATTTCAAAGCATTCGACTAACTTAGGATCGACAGGCACTGTCAGATAGATCTCGATCTACCTATATAAAGCATCTTGCACATCGCAATACTACTTACTGTGGCTGTCTGTGTGCATGTATAGCTTCCTCTAGTCTCCTAACAAGCCCGGTGGTTGGTTCTCTGATTGTGTGGAGTAATTTGGTATTCAGCATCAGCAACATGCGATCTGACGGACTGGTGAATTTTGCCCAGGCGAGTGCGCCCACCCAGGTAGGAATGCATGCCACTGTATTTAAATGCCTCTCTCTCTCTCTCTCTCTCTGCCAGCAGGTCTTTGCAGCAAACTATAATCTTCTGACAGTTTTTTATTTACAAATAACTGCAGTGATAAACCTATAAATGCATGTTAGTTGTTGTCGATTATCTAATATATATTTGAGTTCGTATGTATGTATGTATGTATGTATGTATGTATGTATGTATGTATGTATGTATGTATGTATGTATGTATCTTCCCTATAGGCGGCCAAACCGCCCAAGCGATCTGGATGCAATTTTCACAGGGCCATCTCTTATACCCCGGGCGTGTTCCTAGCTGAAAAAAACCTGCCAAACCGTCAAACTCACCGAAAAATCCGTGAAAATCCCCTCAATTTGTCAATCTT